TTCGAAATTTCATCAGCCGGTTTGAGATATTCTCTCGACGAGCAGCAGCGGCAGCGGCGGCATAGCGTCTAGGAGGGAGGGGTGAAATGAGTAACCAGTCTTCCGATTTAGCCAATTGTTCTTTGACATTTAAGAACAATCTGGGACATCGGGTGCCCTTATAAGGTAAATGGGCCAATTGTCCGGTGGAAATTTGGGGCGCTCTTCCTGTACCTATATAGTGTATACCTACCTATATATAAATAATAAATATCTGCCGGTCGATCGCTGACAGAGACCGTCGTCGTCGGTGGCAACGAGATAAGTACCTCCTATGTATGTATGTATATATATGTTATATTTTATTATACAGCGAGCTGCGCATTATATATTATATAGGTACCTATTATCATTATTATCATTATTATTATTATTATATCGTCCATCGTTACGTAAACGATTTGAATAGTAAATAAGTTGTTCTGGTCTCCCGTGAGGGTAGTTATATAGATCCAGGGAAAAGAAAGGAAAAATTGACAACCCAGTAACGGGAGATTCAGGTAACACAGGTGGGTCAGTGGACCAAGCGGCTGGTTATAATAACTTGGGGCCCCCGTGCGGTGTACAAGAGTAATGTGATAAGTGGCACATCCTCCTCGTGTGAAACGACGTTTGGCCATCGCGGGAACGTGACCCCGGCATTTACAATTTTTCGTATGTTATATATCCGTATTGGCATTGTTTTCCCACCGCAAGTGCAAATTTATTTTAAATCACGTGTTTGAACGCTGCACGTTTGTTACTCGCTGAGAGCCGAATTATTTTTAAAGCTTTAATTTTATATTACCTTCTCGACAAGTGGGCGGGAGAAACGTTAATTAATATTGATATTATTATTATTATGATTATTTTTTTTCAATAAATTCTTATTTTAATTAACTCCGCGACCATGATCATAAATGTCTTTACAAAATAATATTTATTTTCGAATTACGCCATAATGATATATGCATTATTAAAATAAAATAATGTAATGTGACATAATTGTATTTGAATAATTTATAGAGGATTATCTGCAATAGATAATAAAAATTAATAATAAAATATTGTGTGTTTAAGTTATGTCCACGTCTATAAATACAATAATACATTAATACGTAACCTACATAAAAGTGTATACAACCAGACAAAAATTGTTGTTTATTATGGTAGTTAATTACTTATAGTGTTCTTCCTATAAAATCACATTTAGCGTTAACTAAAAATTAAACAAGTAAATGTGTTAAGAACAACCTCGAATTTAATTCAATTTAATTAAATACTAAAATGTTAATAGGTATAATAGTTATTATAGTTTACACCCATTTATACGATTAGTATGAAATGTAAAATATACTCTAATACTCTAATAGTGAAGAAGATCTATCCAGTAGAATACTTAAAGTGCATTTTCTTTTGAATAATATCCAATTTTGAAAATGTTTAATATAATGTTAGATAACAATCGATTTTTTTTTTGTTAGTAAACGAACTTGTAGTTGAATAATATTAAGCTCTGAGGTGCCATTATGTTATTTTTTAAATGAATAGCTCGTCGACTAACTAATAATGTTTTTTGACATCTGATGGCATTAGAAAGTCGAATACGCAAGGGGAAAGCTCAGGCCATGTGACATTATGAAATAATGAGAACTGTTAACATACCTGCGGCACTTCCTGCGCCCGAGGACAGTAAAACATGCTAAAACTATAAATAGTAACTGTTATGGATATAAAAGAACCCGATATCCGTGATGGCGTGATATATTAACGTATTATGTAGCGGAAACAAAATCAAAAATATCCTCGAAGCGCAATTTCGAATATTCAAATCTTTTATTTCGAACTATCGATACACGAACCATAGTCTATATACCATATAATTATATATTTATATATCCCGATCCTCAATGCAAACACAAAATATATGAAATATTTAGAGAATCTAATGAGATAATCAAATTAAACGATTTCACTTTTACCTTTTAAATTATGTAAGATAGTCGGTAGTCGATACGTTTTCATACACTATTTTCTGTTTATTACAATAGGTATACCAAAATCTTTTTCCGAGTATTTCCGAAGTGTCACATATTCGTATTCCATAACATTTTAATCACTTGATGTAGGTACCTAGTTCTTACTTATTACATTTTTAAGTGAACATCGTCGTATTCTAAAATCAATTTGTGGCGGAGTAGAATTTACTGCTTTTCGTATGTTTTTCAGAATACGAATCGATTGAAATGTGTGATGATATATAATTTCAGAATATAATGCAGAAATTACATACAAATGTAGGTACTTATCTAATATGTTTCATATGCTCACTTCATATGCTCACTATTGACTATGAGGTCCAATCGATAATACATTATTCAAAAATTGGAATCCTTGTATATTATATTTCCTCGTTTTTATTTGAATCGAAATTTAATAAATGGCATTGTACTTATTACATTTTGACAAATTCACAATAAAATTGTCATTAAAAGCATAAGACTACATTTTTGCCGATGAGTGATGAGCTTATACTTTGCTCATATCTACTGGTCAACGATTATGTATGTGGTAATGTTGTATATATTACGTGTACCTTTGTATTGACTATGTAGTATGATATCGCGTATTCGTGTTGGAAATGAAATATGATGCTTCCGCGCTACAAACATCATCAGCTCACATCTAATATATATTTAATCAAAGTAAAAATATGAAATAACGCCGCCACTACCGCAAGTACATAGGTATACAGTGCGGACTAGTGAGGTATATTGATCTTAGATTTTTTAATAAACTTCAAAGAAATAATATGTAATAGAATAAAACATTATCCGCCATTAATAGCAATTTAATCATTATCGGAAACGCGTTTACGATAGCTTCGTGTCGTTACCTCGTTAATTACGCTCCATCACGAGAACGTGCCCTTAATTGGTTGTAATGTTTAATTACTCATTAACCGTTGTATACCGTCATTATCGTCCGGTGAACTTTTTTCTCTCCAAACACGCACAAGTGTGATTTCTACATTTCCCCTGTCACTGTTTGAAAAAAAAATAGGTGTATATCAAACATATAACGTATAGGTATGTATATGTAACTATATTATAATTCATTCTATTCAAATAATCATTAAACATCTTCATTAATTTATGCATACAGAATTCTCAATAAAGTAAAATTACAGACAATTAATTAAAAGTGTAAATTAGATTTACAAAAACCATTTTTTTTTGTATTTTAGCACTAGTATATATATATATACTACGTATACCTATTACATACATATAATATTATATACAAATTAAAATAACTGTGAACAAATATTATGTGTTGTGGAGTTCACTCGGAACTCAATACTTCTCATGGCCGAGAAACATATACATTTATAATAATGATTTCCTTATAAGAATTTCAAGTTTGAAACCATATTTACATTTTTAAGTAGCATGAATTGTTTCTAGTTTTTAATTTTAAACTAAAATACTACATCAAACTATAACGTACAATAAAGTTTACCACAATCATTCCTCACACTATGTACTAACATTGGTGATATGATATGAGTATAATATTATGCTAAAATCTTAAAATTATATTTGATATGTTATTATTTATTAACAATAATGTTAGGTTTATATAATATTTTGTATGTATAATGTTCAATTGATAAGGCTATAAGCTGTTGAAAATAATTAATTTTTATTTCATTCAAAAAACGATCACCATTAGATATTAAATGCTAATACTTTATATTATAATGAACCAATATTTTTTCTTAATTCCTTAGAACAAAATAAAGCTATTTATTTAATTAATGTTTGTAAACTTAAATAACTTAAAAGGATTTTTAATCGATTATAAAATAACATTTCTTCAAAATCTACATAATCTATTTTAACCCTCTACGAATTTAATAAACTATAAACTTACTTAGTCTACAAACAATATAATACTTATATATTAATCTTATAAAACAAATTAAGTTATTTAAATTTCTAATTTGTTTAAAATATTCATTAAGAATCTGAAAGAGAATTTTCTTTTATGTTGATCAACAAACGCTGTAGCCTGTAGTAGCTCCCCAAATTGTGAGCCATATTATAATTTACAGTTATATTAATTTTATAATTTCATCTCAAATATTAGATTTATTTTTAAACTTTTATCAATTTAAATTGCAATGAACTTTTATTATTATATAATCGTACTTTCATATTTGTGTATTATGTCTTACATACCTTCCTATTAATGAGGGTGTCTCACAGTGATTGCTCTCATACATAAAATATTTTATAATTATTTTAAAACTAAAAAGAAATAATTTCAGTAACAACTGTCTTTGACTATACAGTGAAACAAATGTACACTATATTTATTCGATTTATACACCTAAACAGATTCATTTTATGGGGATTTCATATAAATCGTTTGAGATTCTTTGTAGAGTTTGTAAAATTAATATTACTGATACCTATACATAGAACATACTGGAGAATTGGAATTTAAATTATTTATAGTCTTTGGAAAAAAATAATTTTAATTCTAATATATTACAGTGAATATTATTATTCACATTGTGTTATACATTTAGAATTTATATTAACCTTATGTATCATTCCAATAAATATATACCTATATATATTATAGTTAATGTGATATTAATTTAATATAAAATTATAAATTTACTCATATTAGACTTATAATTTACAAAACAAAAATGTTGGATGATTTATTTTCTGATGCTAAAATTGTATAATATTATTTGATACAAATTTATGATCAGCAATTAGTTGGTACGTGTATGGGATGCTCGTATCGCTTGCAAATAGTTGGATTTTATTGGAAGTTTTGTATAAGGTCTTTAAAAACATTTAGTATAGGGACATACAATTTGACGTAGGGGTCTGAGCATACCTTACCATCTTTACAATAACCATACTCAAATCTATACTCACAATATTTTTTTTTGTTTACAGATGATCAAAGATACAGTTGAAGATTTGTCGCTTACGAGCAAAAATTCGAGTAGAGTCAAAGACCTGGTGAGTAGCTTTTTTCTTTCTTTAAAAATTAAGGGGAGAATGTTATTATTTGGGCTACATAGGTTACAACAATAAGTCGTTGCCGAATGCTTCCGGTGATTTTTAATTAAAACCCGTTTTTCACAAGCATTATTATGTTGGTCGGATTCATTAAAACTGATAAAAGATAACGCTAGAAGGTCTGTTCCCGATAAGAACAATAAAATAGAACAACAACCACAGCCGGTAACTACAAACAAAATTGTGTCAGTGCACTGGTTTTCATTTGGTCACACATTTTAATCAAAAATAATAATAATTACTAATTATATGAATATTATATTGTAACTGCATTCATATTGTTAAATGTACTGGATTTATGATGTAATAACATTATTGTAGTACTATAGTTGTACGTAGGCGTATATTATAATTTATAACTACTTACGGATAGTTATTATTTATAGAATATAATAATGATAATTATATGGTATCTGTATGATTGAATCTGATGTATATTTCGGTGCACTCGATAGCCATAACTGATACAACAATTAAAGACGATGAGAGGCTTAAATATCCCGTCAATGAATTCAATTTATTCACATATTGTATTATGTAGGTACTTTTACCATACTTTCATAATGGGTGTATTTGACTCGTCGTACGTGTCAACACGTCATACAATATGGTAAATATGAACAACGAGTATATTATCATAATATTAATATAAATATTAAAATATTTTTACTCGTAAATTTTAAATTGTATTCATACATTTCTCGATTACATAATAGTAATAACTGTACTTTATGTTTTCCGCGTATGTTCATTAAATAATAAAAAATTGGAGACAAACTGTTCCAATTATTTTGACCTTCATAAATTGAAATTTATAACATAATATGTTAACTAGGTGTCAAAAAATATATTTTCTTCAAATATCAAGCTTATTCTATTAACTCTGTTTGTTATAACTCACAAGCATATAGCCGAAGCACATATTATTATAAAAATTACCTAACTATTTCAACGAGTTATTTTTACTATAGTTTATAGGTAGTTGATAGTTATTAGTATAAAAAAAAAAATGAAAAATAGTTATTTCACTCAATACGATACTAATTAAATAATACGTTTGAGAATGAAAGAAATCAAGAATAAGTGACTGTCATTTGTTATACATCTATTGCATAATATGATTAATACGAGTGATAATTTACGAAGTCTTTGTCAGCTTATATTAATCAATAATTTATTATACTTGCTTTCTAGTTTTTTAATATATATTGTAGTAGGTATTACACATGACAATATAATATTATTATTTATTCATTCTAAATAAACATTAGAGGAGTTGCATTATCAAATATGTATCGTTATTATGTGTTCAAAATAAAATATACACGTGTCGATTTTGAAAATTAAAACAAACCAATAAAATTATTCAAATCCAAAAATATATGAAATAAAACACTAGGTAGGTAAGTATAATGTTAGGCAGGTATGGATGGTATGTTATGTAATATTAAAATCTCATAAAAGTTTTCTTTCATTCGGTATTTATTCATGTTTTTTAAACATTTATATTTTTTTTAATAATATAGGTAGGTACGTACTTTAAAAAGTTATTGTGTATTTCAAAGACTTGAGCTTAATGGCTCGTGAAGACGGGTTCAAAGGATTATAGTACATTTTTTGTCAATGCCTCGAATTGATAATCAATGTGAAGAAAATTAAATATGTATTTAATATAATACTTAAGTAGGTCCATTCTGGTCCATTCTACTCGATACTTACGTGCTTACATAAATTCTATTACGATTAAATTTACAAATAATAATATTATCATACATGGCACAAATTTACTTTGACTGATACTTTCATATAATAATAACCATAGTTATATACATTTCATAAGAAGTTCAAAATCTTAATATTCATAAATGTTTTAATTAATTTAATAATGTCCAAAAAATATTTCTAAAGTTTTAACTGAACTTAGTGAACGCTTATCCGTGGAAATTAAGCCACACTCTAAGCAATACGCATATATTGTAACTTAAAAACAATTCACGATTAAGCTAAATGTTTCTATCGACAATTTCATATCGATCTATATTCTCATACAAATCCACTCTTCAAGAATCTATCATCTCTCACAATTCCAGGTAGCACTCCAAGAAGACATAATCTCAAATGGTGTAGAGATTTATTATGTAAGAAAAAATAAAAATAAAATAAAAATACACAAGTCTTAACTTAAATGAAAGTGTTATCACTGATTGGCTTCTTTTCCAAATTATATAACTCATATTCTATTGTTTTCATAACCCACATATACTCATTATGTCTATGATAATATAGATTGTAAATTTTCTCCTAAAAATAAAAAATGGGTTTAATTAATTATTATTCGTTACTTATATATAAATTTATACTTATACTCAACCTTTATTACTCAATTTAAAAATAACAGCCTAACCTAAAATCTCTACAATATATTAATACGTGTCATCATCATTTATAAGTAGGTACCATATACATTATACATTTTAATTTTTAAACAGATTTACAGAAATTACATTGTACCGAACATATAACAATAGTATCTCCTGCAGTGTACATTTAACATGTTTAAGATGTTATTTTATGTGGGTATCCATGAGTTTAATTTTACATAAAATACTGTTATGTCATTAAAGTACACAAAGTAGCCATGTAGGTACCTGAAATATAAAATAAATTATATAAAATTTATTATTATAAATGTCAAATATATTATACTATTTAAATAACAGTTTAGTTTATGTAATTTAAAGATCAAAATCGTAGTTTTAAATATAAATTATAATCAACTAAACTACTATAATATTCGTCTTATACATATTTTATAGAATTTAAACAAATATACATGTATTAATTATTGACAAAGTTCGATATAAAACACAAAATAATTTAAAATTATATGCTAAATGATAATTTTTATCGTCAAATTCAAGTTTGTATTAACATGAGCAATAATTGTTTTAATAAAATCAGCAACAAATATAACTTTTACAATTTTATGTATAGTATATAATATTATGAGAATTAATTATAAATATAATGTACAAATCATGAATATTTCCCACTACGAAGTTTAAACGTTAACTTGTGACATTTGTTATACCATAATCACAAACTATATTTAAACATTTTGTTAGAAATTGCAGTTAAATAAAAAGTGGTTTATCTCTATTAAGGTTATTAACAAAGCAATATTATTAAAATCAATTAGGAATATGATAATATATATTACTACTTCCAGTAATTTGTTTGTGTTTAAAAACGTTAAATAAACGAACTAAAATTGTATTTGCATCAACCTTTAAGTACGTAGTTGGTGTGGAGTTAAATACTATACAATTTACTAGTTATGTACCTATACTTATACGTCAACTAAACGAACTAAAATCGTATTTGTATCAACTTTCAAGTAGTATAATATGGCGATAAACATTATAATATTTAGGTGCCTGTACTCATTCATTATAGAAATATGGTGTTTCTCAAGTACACTCGTGTACATTCCATTTATTACCCATTTGACGAGGACTAATATCTAAATAAGTCTATTTTTTTGAACACTTGTGCAATATATAACAAACAATTGTTATTTGTTACACCATCATCATAACGTCTTATACTCATTGTTGTCTGAATATTCACTTGCAAGCATAGTAATGGTTCCACTTTGAAGACAATACACGTGGGCGGTCTACATATATCATTATATATTTAACCATAATCTATTTCTCTTGGTGTCATGAAATATCAGTTTGCCACCGTTTATACTACCTATACCTGCTTTAAAGATGCAATGGCAACAATAATAATATTATAATACAGATACCAAAAATATATTTTAATATTATTATACGTCTTATGCCTATTATTATATTTAAAAAAATATAATAATACCTGTATTACTTGTGTGTACTAAGTATTTGTGTGAAAGGTGAAGGTTATAGTATTATAATATGGACAGTGAATATTATTTTGAAAGTCATTAACGGTATTGGAAGTTCAAGAATGCATATTATTGTGCCTATATTATATACTATCATGCGTGTAAGCGTTGTAATCTTATTATAATAATGTTATATCGTCGGGAACTTGAAAAATAGGTACGATAATAATAATAATAAAAATAATAATAATAAACACACACACACACCCGCCATGAGCCTGATTATAATATTTTTTTCCCGCTTGCACTCCGGAACGGGCTGAAGCTACTTTCTCCCGCCGCTGAAGCTGTTATTGTACTTTCACTGATACGCGCACACACGCGCCATCCGCACACCCAGTCGTGTTATACGATCAGCGTGTTATACACACGTACCTACAGCTACAGTCATACACACACCGTTTAATAACAATAATGTAATTTTATTATTACGACGACAACTTTACCGGGGGGACCCTCGGGGTCCCTAAACCCCGGGCTGATGACGAACCGGTTACGTTTGAGCCTATATGGTCGCCGTTTCCGAGAAAAAAATTATATATTTAAAATATTATATTATGTTTTTATTATTATTAATGTTCGTTACGAGTTTTTTCAATTATTAATAATTATTCGGTTATGATACACACGCAGATATTGAAGTTCGTTCAACCGAAACGCATCATCGTTCTATACCGTTATAGTATTATTATTTGTTTGTGTGATCACTGTTTATTACGTTATTAACAACAAAACAACAACAACAACACCAGTATGAGTACAAATTAATTAGTTTTCTCCAAATCATAATACCTACATAGTAATATCGTCTTTCGGATGAATATTCCGAGTTTTAGACAATGCACAAACAACTACGAAGTACCTACTTGAGACTACTCACGAGTTATTTCAAGTTGCACCTATTTAATTGATTTTAAGGTCAGAGGATATTAAAGTGATAATAGTGTTATGTAGATGATATTATTATTATTATTATTATTATTATTATAGTGTACTATATTCGTAAATGCAATAATTAGTAGAGTTGGTCTAGGGCTTTACACTTCAAGTTTATATAACAATTTAATTTCATGTATAATATAACGTATGAAACCTTATGCACATAATATTATACAATTAATAATAACATGCTACACGCGCTTAAAATTTTTTAGAATACATAGTAAAAACAAACTGTTTGCATTATTATGCAGCTCTGTTATAAATTAACAGTTATCTATTATTTACAATATTATTATTCAATGTCCTATTGTCTTGATTGTGTATTCAAAAATAAAATTATAACCAATGCATAACACAATTAAAGTTTTAAAACAATCATTATGAATTACTATGCCTTCCTAATATTTGACTAGATAGTTTAGATTATGCCTGTCTAACTGTTAATACAAACATTGTAATTTTCCTAAATTTATAATCACAGAGTTAGTGAATACTTGATGTTGACATTTTTCAGTATCATAATGACGAGATAGGAATTGTTACATAAAAACATTAAATAATAATTGGCGACAACTAACAAATTAATAAGATTAAGTATTAGAATACTTTTCTTTTAAATAAATCTGAAATGGTAATAAATGTTATATTATAATACAAATTAAGCGTACAATATTAGGAATGCACTTTTAATTTGTAGCTTTGAATACATCCTTTTCGTGCTTTAGTAGATGATAGAATTGCAAAATATTATAAATGTATAGGTAGTTTTGATACAAAATTTTTTTTATTGGATTTTTCAAATTATAAAAACATATCAACATTTTGATTTTATAAAATGATTCAATTTCATAAATAATATATTCAGCCATCATCAACAAGTATTTTTTAATTTTAAGTAAGTTACACCAATATACCATAATATTGTGTTGGCTAATTGGCTTCCCATCAAATGTAGGTTGAAATAGTTAGGTTAAGTTTTTTCGGATATAAAATTCGTAAAATCAATAGTTTCTCTTTTTTACTTAAAACTTAAAACCATTATCAGTATTGACAAAATCGTAAATAAATGCAAATTTTGTGTTTTTTATTTAAGTCTTAAATTCTAATAGGTACTATAAATCAATATGATCAATTAAAAATAACAAAAATGTTTTATTAACTGGGTTAGGAAAATCAAATTTCAACCTGAATCGTATATTTTATAATTCTTACATATTTTTAACAAATTAATTTGATGTTATAAACATTATATTATATGTTTACTGGGTAATAGTATCTTATATGAATTTAGTGGTTATTAACCTTTTATAATATAATAGACATTTCCCACATCTTTAAGTCACATGTGGTTGTGTCAGGCTATTATAAACATTATACACGGTGTATTGCGACGTTTACAAATTACAACTTTAAATTATCATTTTATTGCATTTTTAGCTATAATAATCCAGTATTACTAGTATTTTTTGGAACGATTGTAAACCTTATAGTGGTGTATTCAATATCTAAATCAACTAAATCACTTTATTACGTCATTATAATAGTTAACATATATATAATATATTTTTATTGGATGTTTTTTTTAAGTAAAAAATAAATAAAAATTTTGATTTTGATTTTACCTGTTTGAAAAAATATAATATATACATAATTATTATGTTGGTTTTGTTACGTAAATAAATATATTTATTATCTTATACTAAATGTAGTTATTACTATAGGCCTCATTTTGCCAACAGTGTTCCTATTGTATAAGGGTTAACATTTTTTGAACGTATCAACGTTTCGTAATATTCTCATGCTGATGACCTTACAAAATTTTGAAAACTTGTTGAAAATTCTGGAATGTGGTCAATCGGACACTAGACGACACGTGAGAGAATTTAATTATTAAAACATTTATATAAGCTATAAAATGTCTCAACTAATATTATAGTTATTCATTTTTATTACATTTTTTATGTAGAATATATAAGTATAGGTATAGAGTTCTATATTGAAACCTAGTGCATTCAAGCGTGTATAGTGTATACCTACATTTAATAGCAGCGTGTATGTTCATTTTTTTCTCCTTAACTATAATAATAATATGTAATTTACGTTTAAGACGTTATCAAAGCATGTTATGAATTAAAAATAAAAATAAATAGTTGACAATTTTAACATAAAACTACAATGAATTACAACAGTACCTATATATGTATAGGTTGTAGGTACCTATATATGAATATAAATACTGACGTGTGACATAACATAAATCTTATGTTTTATGATTCATTTTTAAAAACAATCAACGAATTATTAGCACTTTGCTCAAGACGTTCATAGAATTTCCACCCATATCAGTATAATATGTAGTACTTAGATTTTTTTGTAGTAGTAGATATTTATTGCTTTGACCTCCTTCGTTTGTTTTCTCGGAGTGTATATAGCATACATACAGCACTGTCCATTAATCAGTCGAAACGAATTGGCGGATTTCCTGTGGGGAATAGGCGTGTTCACCTGTCAAATTTGTGTGATTTCATATATGACTCATCTGCTTATGAATAAAGGCCAACAAATGTCAAATCCAAGTAGAATAAATTGTGAACGTTATTTTATTTTTTTTTGTCCCCGCAACTTGCTGAGACGTATTTCAATTAATTTTCTAATTCATTAGTCATTACTCATTACCAAACGCTTTTCAAAATAATAAAAAAGTGCAGGGTTCTTACTGACCTTATATGTAGTGTCCCGTACCTATATATTTTGCAAATTAAATACCATACGCTTTATATCTCATGGATGATCAATTTCGTAAGCTATCGTCAGATTTATTATTTGACTTACCAAAAAATAATCATAAATATAAATCCCAAATTGACTTTATTTGTGTGTGTAATTTTTCATGAGAAAATTACTAATTTTTCTCAAATGTTAATATACATAATAACTGTTATTATACTGCATAATATTATGAAAAAATATCAATGTATGTATTATTATTTACTAATAATTATAATAATAGTATAATATGTGATACATGAAATTCATAATATAGTATGTGTACGCAATACACATTCACAAATATAAGTTAGGTGCCTGTTATAGCTAATGCTCTAACGCATCAACATTTCAAACTATTTATCATTACGATGACGAGAGTGGCGGTGGCGGTGGGATAAATCTAATTTTCATTACCTTCTGCAGTTTTCTGTGGTATAAGCATTGAAGTATTTTGATTACAAATTATGAAACGATAAACGGTACATTAAACAGGCTGACATGCAGCCATGCAGGTGGGTTGATCGACCGCGGTAAACAGGTGTCGAAATTAATTAGTTGGTCCAATTTGACCGTGCGCCGGGTGCCAAATATATAGGTATACTAGAATATTGAGGTGGAGGTAAAACGTGATCCGGTCGGAGGTGAAAGTGTATTTGTATGAGTGTGCCGCTCGCAACGACTGGTTTGAAGCACCCACGACTTCACGAATGATCCAAGGCACCATTTTGGCGGGATCACGATCTGCGTGTGCAAAAAAATAATACATTGATGATGATGAAAAAATAATAAAGTAAATCACTGAAGACTGCAGAGAGAAAATGAAAGTGAACTATATTAAAAATTGAAGCGATTAGAACGTTATTTTTAAAAAAACTTATTATACGACGACGATTATTTAGTGTTGTTATTATTTTTTATTTATATCGTTAATCGTTATCACTGTTATCTTTCTTTTTTTCAGATCAAAAAGCTAAACGAAGGTTCCCAACAGTCCAGTTTTAAAAAAAAAGGATCAGCCCATATGGTAAGACGAATTAAATTTTTCACTTTCAACAGCAATTGTTACGTAACCGTTGAAAGTTAATGATTATGCTTATGAAAAGTAACCTTCTAATTCATAACAATATAGGTATATTATGTTTTTATAGATCATTATTTTTTTTATTAATATAATAATATAAAATAACGCACACTGCAGATAATAGGTATTATAATCAAGTCCACAGCATTTTCAATACATCTAATAACAATAAAATAAAATAGCCTCTAATGACATAATATTATACTTATCTAATACATGTCATAGTTGACGAACATTTTAAATCATGTTTAAGCTAATCCCTATTACCTAGTATCGTTTAATGTATATGACTTATCACAACGTGATATACTGATATGTATGAAAGTCGTAGTTACGAATTTAGACCGAAGACTTGTACCTTAAACGCCTTAAACCTAACCTAACATAAAGTAAAGTAAACCATAATCGACACGAAAACCACATTATTATTGCGTATTTGCGTTGTTAAATACGAGCGGGAGAAGACGTTGAAATGTCACAGTCGAATGTCGCCCATCGATTTCTGCGAACGTTTATATGGTTACGGCCGATATATTATTATTATTATTATTATTATTATCATTATGCACGTGCATTGTGCATACGTGCATCATAAAAATATATTATGTTAAACACGCGTAACGGATGTTTTACTATTATTATAAAAAATTTATTTCGAAAACAATATTATGCTTTCTCCCCGTCTCCGTAATAAAGCTGTGGCCTGCGAGTGTGAGTGTGCGGTGCCGCCAATATTAAAATATGAATGATCGCAATAATAATGGCGAAAAACAATATGATGAGAGACATTAATAACATAATATTGGTGTGCCTTTAATGTGTGCACGACTGTTGTATGAAAGATGAATATTCGTGATGCCCGACCAAAACGATATTCGTAATCATATCATTATTTTTGATATTGTTTTTAACCCGAGTGTACTTATACCGTAATGATGGGTTTGTAATGTTGTACGGGACTTTTCAATACCCGTTCTCGATGTCTGTTCTTCAACAAAAATAAACCTTTCTAATAAAATTATAAAACATTGTAGGTATTTTAATTTTCACTTCCTCGTGCATAATAATGCGAATATAATAATTTTACTCGAGTAAATTATAATTAATGTAACATTGTTATTTTTTATGATTACAAAATTAATTGTACATTTTAAAGTAAATAACATACTATATAATATTATGAGCTGTTTTTAACAAATAATGTTATAATTTAAAACTATTTGCGCGCTTTCCATTATGTACAGTATCAAAATTAAACATTTTATTTTTATTTTAATACCTACCTAGGCATTTAATTTTATATTAAATATATATTTGTTCAAAGTAGTTTGTATTCCATTTATATGTTGTTTAGTAATACTTTTATCAAAACGAAATATGTTACATGAGAGGCGTTTAATACTTTTAATACACTTATATTTCCAGTATATTAAATCGGAAAATGAAATGTTGACGTTTCAGAATATTGCATTAAAGAATTAAATTATATATTCGTGACAACGTGTAATTGGATTTAATTTTATGTTCCATATTTTTACATTAAAATATGACTGTAATTATGAAGTAAAAATATTAATATACAAAACTAAAATAAATAATAGTAATTAAAATCACATGTACCTATTTTAATTAATTTAATGAAAAGATGAAATTGTTGTTATTTTATAAATCTCATGTTAGATTTTATTAAATATTGATTGAATATGTTTATCATATAAACGGTAACACTATGTGAAATAATTTGGATGTATAAATTGAATAAATCTTTGATTTAAGAACTACTTTCCATTATAAAATAACACTTTTTTAAATAGTTTCATTTTATCAATACTTTATAAATATCCACATTGAATACAAAAATTTTCAACGATTTGTTATGCAAATATAGGTATTAATAGATTAATTGTTCACCTTATAAATTGTGTAGTACAACTCACTGATTATATTTAGTTTAAACAATTCTAATCAAAAAAATATATCTGTACAAATTAACGATTATGACTAGGTGTATTAAACTTAAAAAAATATTTACTTAACATACAAGGTATTCAAATAAAATATAAATACTTTATTAATTAATATAATTCGATTTAAGTTGGTACATACAAATAATTGTTTGATTTTTTAAACAAGTATTCAATTATGTATATTCTATAAATTGTTATTTAATAATTGTAAATTCAACAATATTAATTCATTATGAAACAAATGGAAAGGAAAATGAAGCAATTATAAATGTGATTTTGTTTCAAACTATTTTTCATTGACTTATGATTACGTAATATACCTATATTAGGAGAGGAATTCAACTAATTTATAATTGTTGTTGTAGTGACTTAAGATTTTTACATTCGTTTAACTGTCTAAGTTATAATACCTAATTATTAATTACATACCTGCAATTAAATAATTCCTTCCAATATTAAAAACAAGTAAAATTAAACTTTCCAAAACCATTAGTGCTCAGACGTATTTTCTCATTTTCGAATCATATAAAAAAACTAATAAATAACATTATGAGTAGAAGTATACTTTTTTTTATTTAAAATAATACTTATAAGTTTATGATCATGTAATTATAATACAAATGATTCATTGTCTTAAACTTTATATTGGTATTTACGAACAATTAGTGGGTACTTAACAATAATTATAATAAAAATAATAGACCAATCTATTATAATACAAATTAACAAAACCTTAACCAGAAATATTTGTTTATTCCAGTAATTTTTTTATTTTATCTAATATATTAATACCTAAACATGGTTGGACAAGTACTACTTATATTAATGAAATCATTGTTTACGGACACAATTTGATAAAAGTTTTAAGTATTCGCATACTAACGAGCCATATATCGTTAATAAAATTCAAAATCCATTGAAATTGATAGTGTTAAGTATGAATAATTCTTCTGATTGAACCAATCATTTTACCTTATGAAAAAAACACTATGAGTATTAATATTAAATAAACTTTTTTTTTTTGAATCAAAACTTAGAACGACGCCTCTTCAGAAACTGGCTCACCAAAACTTACTGACCGAATCACTAGCATTAAGGTAATTTGCAATTTCTTCGAACCTGTAATTATTATTAGAAATCACGTATATACTTTGTAAAACTGTATTTATAATTTTAAACTCACGAAAGCTTCAACTATTTCACACCAGAGTCTGTACAGAATAAATAATTGTACATATATTTGTTTAGTGCACTCCTGGTATGCTGTTTTTTTATTATGTCATAAAAATTATAATTAATTTATATAGGTACAAAAAATATTAACAAATTCGTCAAAAGCGACCGTTCAAGATGTTCTGGACGTACGGAAAAAATCTGTCGAAGGCAATAACCGCGTGGGAGGAAACACGGCCAATTCGATAATTTCAGACAATGAAAATCAATTACCACAGGTAGGTCCATTAGAAGAATTAAAGATTTTTTTTAACTATGCATGAAACAATTGTTTTAGATCTATTTGTTTACAATACGCGTATTATATTACATGCTGTATGAGATATATATATATATACTAGCTGACCCGGCAAACAATGTTTTGCCATATAAATTATTTCTTGGTAATTTGTAGTGTAGAAAAAAATAACCAACTTATTGTAAGTGTATATAGGTAGATCAATTACCCAGCGTTGCCGGAAACAAATTCGTGACAAATGAAATAAAGCCATGTATTACCATTTACCTTCTTAAATACATAATTATCGATAAGACATAAGGTTAGGATACTAAACTTAAAAAAAACTAAGTTTTTTGAAAAGTAATTTTTATTATTTTGGAAAAATACTACATAACTACCGATTAACCAATATTTCTTTATAAACTATATTATTAGTTTTTTCACCAGGGGCATAAATGTATAAGTTTTTTTCTGAGCTTTAAAATAAATACCGCGAACCTCACCCACCCAGTCTACGTAACTGGTCATTATTTATGATAATTGATAACTCCTTTGTTTTTAAAGTTAGAGAATCTATCAAAAGCCATAAAGCTTCTCTGCAATGAGCTCTTCAATTAAAAAAAAAAATCATAAGGATCGGTTCAGTAGTTTCCGAGAACATATCACTCAAAGGTTTTCATTTTCACATTTATATATTAGATGCTAGCCAATTACTAGTAGGCAAATGTGATAATGTAATAAAAAAATAATGTATTACGTGCACACTATATCTCATTACTTTACAAGAAAAAGAGAGAACAGTATAACAAAAAATAAATCTTGAGGCTTATATAATTCACACTAATATCTCAAAAACTACATTTCGAGAAAGTTGTCTCAGAGCTTAGAAATTTTACATTAATCTTAGGCTGTATTTTCAGTTATGCTCAATATTTATGTAAATAATGAAATAAGATATTTAAATATGACATCTATGCTAACTAAATGAAAGAAAACTGTAACTCCTAAATGAAAATTTAAAAAAAACCACAAATATTTTAATTACTTTTAATGCTCAGGTAAATATAGAAAAGTTTCTTATGAGAGTTTTACTTACAGATGGTAGACTTGGAAACTATGTTTTCATTACTCTCAGAGAAACATTCAGAATTACTGCGTGCATACAATTGCATGCAAGTGCAACAACTCAAAGACTCGACGTTGCGTAAAGACAAACGAGAAATCCAACGGTTGTCAAATATAAATTCTGACCTTTTAATTGAAGTGAATAAATTGCAAGCGCAACTTAAAGAAACATCAGAACACAACGAACTACTCGAGTTCAGGCTTTTGGAGTTGGAAGATATCGAAACAACGACCAAAGTAAGATTAAAAAAATAATTAAAATCGTATTTGATGTTAAAAAAAGTACACATTTAAATAGTGTATTTTTTATGTCGTTCTTTATTATTTGATTGCTATTTAACCATCAAATCATAATGTATGCATTTATGCATTCAAAATTTAACACGCTCTGTATACCAAATGGCTTTTTTTTTGTTATTGAATATGAAATTATCTCGTATGATTGCAAAACGTTTTCGCGCTTATTCAAACCCATTGTTTTTATATAGTTGAAAATTCAAAACCGTGAAACCACCGAAGATATGAGCGACTCCGGTGTTATGTCACTGGCCACCAGTGATGATTTTTGCAGTGACGGAGACCAACACGAAAACGAATTAGTAAGTAATCTATGAAAATTATCGCTGCGGGATCTATAACATTGTATGAATAACATGTCACATAATAAATTAGTCTTTGAGAAACAAGGTCGTGGTTTCGTATAGCTTAATAAAGAGTAATTTTAAAATGGGTGTTCTTCTATTGTATATTAAAACTATTTAAACATTTTTGGTTCAATTTTTTTTTTGTCCTTGTAATGACAAAATTATTTTTATCTTCGTGGTGAGAACAAGGAGTTAGCGTTAAAAATTCAACCAGGATTTGATTGTTGAACTGAGAACTAATAGATATCGTTTCCTGAAGTAGATATTATATACAACCTATCATTGTTTATTTTTTATTATTTAGTTGGTACTTCAATTGTTACAAAATATCAATTATGTTTAAAATAAATTTTATCTTAAGCACGTTCCTAAATTTAACCCAGTGGACAAAAATTAACATATTATTATAAAGGAAAATGATATATTGATTAATATAAAAAATATATACATATTCTAAATCAACAACCAAAACATATTATTTTGTAAATATTATATATATATTATATAGATACTTATGAAAATAATAATTACCAAATAAATTCACGATTTTTGTTATAATGGCTCACACGAAATAGTAGTGGGCAACAAAAATAATACTGCCATCTTCAGGGTAAAATTTGTATTCAACGCTGGTAACACTTTGTTTTTAATATTCTAAACAAAGGCAATATTCAAAATCACTCTCACGCGATTGTTATTCGTTTATTTGATTACCAATTTATATTATTCTAGCCATTATGTCATCGAAATCTACAGGTGTGCCGTTAATTCAACGAACCCTCTAGACTTTATTAGCATTACCTATTACCTACCACTCCTACAAAAAAAAATCACAATATTATAAATACCATATATTCATGTACGAGATAGAATGTTTTAAATACAATAAGGCCAGTACTCGAATGGCAACGCCTAAAGCGTACATTATAGCACTATGTGACAACCTTGTAATAGGAATTTTATACTTTGGACGAATCGTGATCTGATTTAAAATTTAGCACATAATATAATATCTCACAAAAATTAAATACACTTATTCGATAATAGTTGTCTACTTTTTAATGGCTTTCGATTCAGTAATCCACTCGTTGTCTGTAGGTCGTACTAGTAATAAAAATATACTTTACGGCACGGCATCCATAATGCATGGGCAAGGTTATTACAGGTTTCGATTTTTACCTCAGGGGATGCAACCGAGAGGGTTTGATGAGGAGAATTTTTGACATACCAAACAAACATTCCTGCGGTAACAGCCGTCACCGTGGAATGTAAAGGTTAACTATACTGTTATGATTTTTAATTTTGTGAAAACACGTGCACGAGCGAATGACTGACATTCGTATGTTACGTACAATGAATAAATATATATTGAACACAGTGGTATTTTATAACTACCGCATTATATACAACTTATTTTATACGTTTTACCTAACTATAGTATTGAATTTTAGGATGTAAGGCGGTGTGATAACATTAAACAACGACTGATGGAAATGTACAACAGCGTATGTTATTGCGTAGAAGATAGATCAACAATTAATCAAGTACTAGCTCTCATACGGAATTTCGAGTGCCGTTTAATAGACGTAAATCAAAATGATCGCCATAAGCAGGCGTATACAGACTGCCTTCAAGAAAGTGGTATTTTTGAAGAGGATATTTATTCGGAAGCTATATCAGAAGCGACTCAAACGGAAAGTCCTATTGAAAAAACCATAGGTATTCTTTCTACCGATTTAACCGAAGAACTTAGAAAATTATCTAGAATTCGTGAAAAAATCGAAGAACGCAAAGTGCCATTAGTTGATGATCGAGTTGCTAAAGAATTGTCGTTTTATAAAGAACACTGGCGAACTTTAGAAAGGAAAATCGAAGCTTATGAATGTGACGGAGACGATAGAGTGAAACTTTTAACGTCAACTATCGATAGAGAATCAAGACTGGCCAGTGAAATAAAACTTTTATATACCACTATAGACAAACTAAAAGAACAAAATCGATCTATTGAAGAAGAAAAATGTGAATTCGAAGAGGCGGAAAATGACACTAGACTTAGATTCCAGAAGTACGTTCATTTTTAAACAACTACAAATGTATTGTTTTGATTTATTTATGGTTTATTAATTTTTTTAATTTTTAGGTTGGAAAACAAATACATGACATTGGCTGAAAAAAAAAATACCTTACAGACAGAATTGAATGTCAAGGCACAAGAAATCGAAGCACTCCGCCAAGAGTTATCTGAAGTAAATGCAAAAAAATGCGAAGCCCGTAAGCACGCGGCCTCCATGGAAGCACTGATCAACAAATATGAGCAGAGAAATTTTGAACTTGAAGAATCCGAGATGGAAACAAAATGTAAATTACAAATTTTGGAAAATGCATGGCCGGCAATAGTGTTATGGAATATATGGCGTGTTGTATGTAAACATTATCGCAAATCCAAATCAACGTCGGCTATTGAGTACAAACAGTCTACAGAACTGGACATAGATTATTTAGAAAAACTGCGTATCATGACCAAAGAGCGAATGGAAATGGAAAAAAGGATCCATGACCTTGAGTTTAAAGAAAATGTGTATCAACAGACATTACAACAGGCTGATAACATTTTAGCTAACGTCGAGGAAGGTTACAAGCGGCAAATCGAAGAACTGAACTCAGAACTGGCTGAAAAACAAAAACAGTTAACAGATCGTGAGAACCGGATGCGGTTATCAGCTGATTCTAGAAATAGGGAACCAGAACTTTTAGACAGAATACATGGACTCGAAACGGAGATACGAGAACTTATGCACAAGCTTAAAGCTAAAGATGTGGAAAAGCAGTCTTGGGTCCGTCGTGAAACTCAACTTAGAAATGATATGGATCAGTTCGTCAATGAAGTTTGCCAAATCAAATCAGAAAATGCCGTACTCAAAAATCAATTAGATTGCGAGAAAATGAAATTTAAAGACCTACAGAAAGACATTAATTTCAAACAGTCGGTGTACGCTGAATTGGAGGAGAAATCCAACGCAGAAGTAAATATTTTGATATTTTTTACATTCAAAATAACTTTACACTACTTAAACCTTTTACAGGCAAAAAACTACCAATCTACCATACTAAAATTATCGAAACAAATTGATGAGTATGACGTCACAAACGGAGAACTCAAAGAAGAAGTCGAAACCCTTGAGGTAATTTTTAATTTCTCGCTATTATTATTATAAATGGGTACATATATTTTTATCTGGTTAAAAGCCATGGTAATTATGATATACATATATTGCTTACATAATTGTGATGGCAATACAAAGGAAATATTTAAAAAAATATTTTCTAGTCTCACTAAGATAAGACTCAATATAAGTATAAAATATAATACATATTATGTAGCGTCGTTCTTATGGGGTGGGAATGTCCGGAATGGATTGAGGTTCAAGTTCAAAAAATTGATCTAAGAAATTAATGTTAATTTCGTAGCATTAAAAATTCACTAAATTGAATGTTTCATAGATAAATATTAAGAAGGAATTTCATAGAAATAAAGTATCGATATGATTTAATACGTAGGTAATAAACTGATGAATCATAAGAAATTATAACTGTCATATTCAAGCGTATTATAATGGGGCAAATATGGTTTTTGATGCTCGGATTATAGTTCTAATTTAACTCTCGGATATATCAAGTATTGTAATGCCTATACCAGCCGCGATGACTTTTTTGGTGTAATTTAAAGACTACACTATAATTTCTGCATATATCGTAAGATGAATAATATTCATCTGAAATTGCTAATTTTGAATCAATTGATATAAATAATAAAAAAAGTAGGGCCTTATCTATATTTTAAAAGCACTTTTAAATATAAATGGATGTTAGACTTCGTAGTCTTTTTTACACCGGGCCTGTCAATCATTTTTTTTTGCCCCCAGTCTCGCAAATATCAAGGACAGCACAGACAACATGTGTATATAATATTTATTATGTTATTAACGTTTTTACGATACAAATATTTATATAATTATTTAAATCGAAATGAAATAACGCGTGGATACGATTATTAATAATATTTTATGAACAAATGATGTATGGACCTTTTAATACTGAACAAACCAAATACGTATACCTATTGAACGTATAATAGGTTTTGCGTTATTAGAAAATCGTTCATTTGTTTTCAACTTTATGGATGTGTCTTTCTGTTTAGACTTTTCAATTTCAAGATACTATATTTTAACTGAAAAGTTTGTTTCTAAGTCATTATTATTGATTGTTATATTTTCTTATAGGCACACGTAAAACTTTTACGAAATGCACTAGCTGAAGAAAAGGAAATCAAAGAAAACATAACTGTAGAGTTAAACCAAGAACTGTCACGTAAACAAGAAATTATTGATAGTTTAGAAAGGCACATGTCGTACAATGGATCGAAAAATGCTGCCGAGGAGCTGCAGTGTGAAAACTTAAAAGTATATATATTTTAACATTTTCTTTAATTTATCATTTAATTTAAATTATATTGTTATCAGACTAACAATGTTGGAAAATTAAACTTGGAGCAAATCGATGATAACGATGATCACACAACAACGCCACAACTATCGAACCTAACACAATTACAAGTAAATAATTTATTATAATAGTATGGTCGTCTGAATTAATACACCAGTTATAAAAATAGTACTATTCTTATAATATTGTCCTATTATGTTACAAAAAATAATATTTTTAAAACGAATAATAAATGGAAATAATAATTAAAATAGATTATTATAGCAAATTATGATAATGTTATATTTATGATGATGTTTTTCAGACGTGTGATGCCTGTTTTAAACATTTTGAACCAATTTTACAAAAAATTATGCACAATTTCAACGACGTTTGTCCAACGTTAGACTCAAATAGCAATTTAAACGTGTCGGAGGACTCTACTAAAACGTCCGATGGTAAACTATTTAGAATAAATAAATATTAAGGTCACTCTTGTATTGTTTACCGAGTGCACAATAACCGATAACCAACAATTGTTTATTTCTTTCAGATCGCCCAAAATCTGTGAAACCCGTAAGTATATGATTTTATACCCGGAGTTTGATACCTACTACTTAATTTTTTAAGAAATATGTGTGCTGAGTACCGACAATGGGTTTGTTTAGGTACAACACAAATGTCCGCTTAAGATAAAACAAACAGTTTGTCACCTAACCAAACAAGCAGCCATGTTGGAGGCCAAAAATTTCGAAAAAAACAAGATAATTATGATGCTGGCTGACGAACTGCTATATTTATCTGAGCACGACAAGTGGAGTAGGCGATTAGAGTTCACGAGAGGTCTCGATTCCGTTCCATCCACTCGATACGCTCCCGACTTTAATTGCACGACCGTAGAAAAATACTTGAACGGTGGCACCGAGTGCACTTCGGACGAAAAGGTTAGCTCGTTGTAAAATAAAAAATTTCATAACACCGTTCGATTCGTACAATAATAGTCTTAAGGCCATCTATATCACATGCGCATGTACTGCAGACGCTATTTCGTTCAAAACGATTGTAAAAATAATAAACAAACTGGTAATAATGTTTCCGCCGAGTCATCGATATTGCGTTCGAACGTTTTCGTGGTATCTATATAGTATTATTACGCCATGCGTCCAAAATTAAGTAATACAGCTAAACACTAGTAATATTTTCTACAGAAATGTTACAACTTACAATTGTTATTATATTTAAGTCCCGGGCCACCCGAAAAGAGCGCAGTCATTTTTAACGCACCCGTCAGTATATTACATCTCAGTCCTCAGAGAGCTCATGTGAGCGTTAGGTACTATTTTCGCGTCCCCCATACACATTTTTGCGGGTAAGTTACGTCACAGAAAAGAGCAAGAATTAATTGAACATCTTATTTGAAAAATTACCTTTTTGTGATAAACATTTACATGTTTAAGTAGGTAAACATTTTTAATTATAATAATATGATATAGGTAGGTAATAAGTAATAAGTAATAACAATAATATTTTCATGTAGGTACATAATAAGTAGAGATGAGCTTAAAAGAAAGTTTTTTGTAAATGTCAACCAAATACTTCTATCGTTTAAATAAATGTATTTCATGTATTTATGTCATTAATATAATATTAGACTGTTAAATTATTTTTATAAGTAAAGTATACCAGCCACAACTATAGTATACACCCTTTTCAGGAGACGTAACTTATTCACAAAAAGGTATATTATATGGCACGCATTTAAAATTTCCCTACCAAATGCAACAACAGTGACTTTAGATCATTAAATCAATATAGATAACTCGAGTCCAAAATCCCGCAGGAGTAAACAATCTGTGAAAACAATTTACCTGAACAAAATGCGTTATCTTGCTAGCTTCGTCTAATTTTCTATCGCGCTTACAAACGTTTGCCATTATCGTTCAAAACGTCGTTTGTTAACGTGTGGAGTAACTTCCTGGCGGAGTGGTGTACGATAGTTACCCCCCGAATATTACTGGAATCGTCCCTCTTCAAAAATGCGGAAACTCGTTTTTATAATAAAACATAAACTCCACGAAACGTCATTACTTCACGGCCAATTTGAAACAAAAACGATTATGTTTCAGAGCGACGACCGTAAATACATGTGCCTGATTGGACCGGAAAACCCTATCGGTCTGCACGTCGTCAGGCAGATCGGACCAGACGGCATCATTCTGGCGTGGAAATCGCCACAACCCAATCCGGCTGGCTCGTACGAGGTATGTCGATAGCATAACAATTCAGTGCTTGACTTATGGTGGAGAAGGGAAGGCAGGTGTATCGAGTGAACCCCAACTCATATTTCCGATATTTTAGCGTACCTCCTTTAGTACACTTCTTTTTTCGAGCGGAACGCACAGATAGGACGCTCTGCAATATTCTCGTCAGTCAACCGATGATCATCATCCGCTTCTTAGCTTAATTCAGAAATATCCTCCTTTTGGTTTATGTTAATTCGGGGAATCGGTCCAGTGTTCGGAAGGTTCACTTAAAAACTGAACTCGTTCACGTTCCCACTCGTTAATCGTTTAAGGAGCACGTTCGGTAAAAAACTAAAGTCTAATTGGATCGTTCATTTAATTATTTGTTTAAAAATCAATTATATAATAATCTACATAAATGAGACACCACACGATGTGCTATAACAATGTACACAATTTATGAAAAACAACACGATAAAAAAGTATCATTGGAATTATTTAAATTTTAAATCTATGTGTAAGGGAAAATATTAAGTACAATTTATAAGATAAAAAAAATGTTAAAGTAATTTAATTCGAACAGGCAGTAAAACGTTCAAGTTGTCTAAAAATATGAGTTTCGCTCGCACTCTATTTATAAAAAATGAGTGACGTCCGTGTGTCATTCACTAGATGTAAATGTGAACGCGATAAACGGGCGTTCTATTTCCGTAGACATCTGAATCCGACTAGTGAAGACATAATATTTTGATATTGAAGCAGTGCAATAACATTTTTTTATGTCATCCCCGCTCCCTCTTTTCGATCGCTGCGGGCCCCCAGTGATTTATTTTTAAGAAATATACCGTCGAAAAACAATAACGATGACGATTTGGTTTTGTTGAAAGCTGTGCCTGAACGGGAAATTAGCGCAGAGGATCCCGTGCACGGGACGTTCGACGACCGTGTTGTGTCCTGTCAACCTGCAGGAACCTCTCACTATCACGATGAGCGCGGTGAACGACGAAGACGGAACGGCGATGCCACCAATCACCATTCACCATCCCTTCGTCATATGAACCCCGTCAGCCGCCCGTCGTCGTTTCTCTAGTCTTCAGCATTACTGCAAAAAATCAATCAAAACCGTCCAGCTGTGTAACAAGTCACATTATTGTATATGTAATAACCGTCATAATAATATGTACACGACACATCGAGTTATGGTATATACCGCGTCACATGTCACGATGACCGTTATTGGTTATGTCAACATTTTGTATTTTGTTTACTTTTAATATTTTATACCTAATAGTGGAAACATTATTGATTTATTTTTCTATGTTATCGAATAATTAGAAAATTATATATGTATTATTATTATTATATTATTATTTATATAAAAAAAAACTGTTTTCGATGTTATGATAAAAACAAAATAATATTAACATTAACAAGAACACGCCGGCCGTATGTATACATATATTATACCTACCAGTATATAGTATTTTATATAGGTATACCGGGTACACATACCATGATCGTGTACTCCCATTTTCCTGACCGACACCGTTTGCGGTTACCAAACGTATTCCAATTATAACGCCGCGGACGGCTATTAAAATGCATAACATACGCAATGCATAATAATATAACACGTTTGGTATATTATATATTTTAATATTATGGTTCACACCTCCTCTTGTTCGGACTGAGTCGTTGTAAAATATTATCGTTATTATTATAATGCGCATATGTGTGTATGTATGGGTTTGTGTGTGTGTGTGTGTGTGTGTGTGTGTGTGTGTGTGTGTGTGTGTGTGCGATATCGACACGAAGTCTATTCGAGTACCTATACAATCTTAATATACATAATATATGAGCTTCTATTATTTTCATGTTGTATCCCATTACCGGCAAGGTTATGGATCCGATTAAGCGACTAAAATAATTGCTTCACCCCTTTCACCATTGTCTCTCCTATGTATGCAACCGCGAAGGACGTGGCGGCCCGTCAAAACGTGCTTTGATTCGAAATAATCTCCGCGGAGTCGTCGTGGCTCCCGATTATCCGAGAGAGTTCGTTTGGAATAAAAACAAAATGTTTTCGGATCATTTTAGTAAACTGCCGCAGCTACTTGTTTAAAACGTTTGAATGATTTAAAAAACCACAGCTGCTGAATCTCGATACAACTTATGGTTAGGGGAGGGGGGTGCCTCGCATATTTTTAATACACATTTTAAACAAAAATATATTGATACAGACGATTTACGTATCTACCCACATATCTATCGAATTATTTAATTTTTTTTTTAAGATACTTTTATAAGGTTTTTAATTTAATGATAATTCGACAATATTGTATTCTTACAGATAGGCGCAATATTAGAAATAGATAAGACAAATCAAACCCTAAGTTCTAATAACGAGGTTGTAAGCTAAACAAGTTGATTGGAATAATATAAAATGTAATTATTTTGCTTGATAAACATCGTCAAATGTCCATAGAAAAAGCACTCGGAATGTTTTCATAATACAAACTAATTGCAAATATTTTGACTGAAAAAAATTCTCATGTAACAGTAACTCAATTTCTCAAGCATATTTGCGTTAATGCGCGACGATCGTTTAAGACATTTATTTTACAAAAATACGTGTGTGAACCACCTTCGATCTTCGCACGATATGTAGGGCACAATATATACAGACGAGTAGACGACTGACATAGATTAGACAGGAAAAAAAATTAAAATATTTTTGCAATATTGTTATCTGTTACGGCGAGATTGCAGTCACGATGTTTTTTCGAAAATAAATGTCCATCGTATTTATAGACAGACAACCTGAACTATTTCAAAATTTTAGGACCAAAACAGTTGTTGTACCCGACCGATATAATATAATATAGGAATGATCAGTGCTATATTATGGTGTGTGTACGGCCATAACCGGGTAGTTTTCAAGTAAAAATGCAACAGTCGTATATACGACATTGGCATTGCGACGAATGCATTCGATATTAGTTACGAGTGCAGCTGCAGCAGTTGCAGTTGTCTGGAAAAATGCATCAAACTACAAAAACAGAAATCGGCGGGTGGCTGTTTTCAAATAAACACCTCGGTTTTATTACCCCCCGAGATGACATCGCGTGGTTTTACAACGACTTGCAGACGAGGCGGTTTATTACCGCGGAAAAGTAATATACCTAATAACATTTTATTTCGTTTTCTCATTCGTTTCTATGTATATAATATAATATTAATTTACCCATGTGTATAATGATCATTTACAGAGAAAGTGCAGTCCGTTTCGAACGTAAGTAGGTACCTATGTGACTTAGGTATATAGGTATCTGTTTAATGTTATTTAAACGAAAGAAATCCGAATGATCTCTGTAGTTAGGCACACATGTGAGCACGACTTGTGACTGTCGTATAATAATACAGTTGTTTAGTAGTCGCGAGTTCCGCGATTTTGCGAAACACGTTCGAACTCGTTTCTTTTTTCCTTTCGGTATTTTCGCATTTTTCCGGTCGCGCTTGTGACGTCCATTCACGACATATTTTTGTTACTATGATAACTATAAATTATAATAACATTATGATGCAGCTTGCATCCTAAGTAGGTATATGGGTTCATGGGATTTTTGGACGTTAGGTTTTATCAGCATACGGTTTAACGGTTACAATATAATAATCATATTTACGACTCGACGAAGCTCATTACATTATTCTGTTCCGTTATTTTCATAATGTACGTGTATCGACGATTTATGTCGTCGTTAAAATCGATGCAGTGGGACACGTTCGTACATTTTGGACGACTTTATAGTGTCTTACATATTATTACTATCATCATTATTATTATAAATTAATCGACTCGTTCGTCCTGTGAGCTACAGAAGTTCTGACGACAGATGCTTAAACAAGCCTAATACGTTTTCAGTTAGATTAAGTTTAGTTAAGGATTGATCCTTCTTGGACTTGGGCTTAAAAAAATTGTTGACCGCGATACTCATATTAATTAAACACAATTATTATTTCGCCAGCTCGGTGCACCATTAGTAGTGCAGTGCACGAACTATTCGAAAAGTACAAGCTAGTATTATTAATTGCTACTTGTATATAAATGGATGGGAGCGATAACCCAAACTTTTGAAACACCCTGTATATATAGTAGTGAACAAAAAAGATTAATTTATTGCGTACATTTTTAGGATTTAACTTTTTTCCTCCTTGAAATTAATTCTACACCTACTGCGATTTGTATTGTTTTTTTCACCCTTTTAATTTGTTGTAAAATTAATCAAACGGGTTATTTTAAACAAAAGCCACCAAAGCTGTAAGTGTTTCAAATATTTCAAAAAGTTTTCACATTACTTTTTACATTTTGTTTAATTTTGATTTATAAGCACCTTTTATTCGATTATTTCCGGTTTGTTTTGTTTTTTTTAATCCTATTTTTCATTCCGCGGATTTGTTTGAACTCTTGGATAAAAAATGATAAAATTTTAATTTTTCACTTACCTACCTATTCCCGACGAGCGCATAAAAATGTCCATGACACTCGAGTTGAGATATATGTGATACCATTAATTGAACTACAATTTGTGAGCAATACAAAAATATCACCAACATACGAAAAAAGTAGCCAAATCCAGTCACCAAGAGCATATAATATAATATTATGATCATACTTATTCATAAACTATTTACTTTTCTGTACGATTTGAAAATTTGAAAATTTTGTATTTTCATTAATTTACTTATATGGGTTTCACTTACATGATTTAATTTGGTTGTAGACTTTTTTTTTAATAGTATGGAAGATTATTGTATTGTAAAACTTTTTCCAACAATTGACACAACTTGGATACTAGTGTAATATATTATTTTTTGAAATCACTGGCCAAAACTGTCCATACATTGGACGAGTTTGATGATGAAGAAGCTATCAATCGTTGAACTTTCGCTAAGTTAGAAACTAGAACGACTCTTAATAATAAATCGTTTTACTTGTCTTGTTAGAGAACACGACAGCTAATACCGTTGATTAATGACGACTCATATTTCGGTGTAAGCAACAAATTTAGTAGTAACCTACACTCGACCTATAACGGTCAACGTAAAAAGTTCTACGATTTAAAAAATCGTACGACTAGTTATGTATGTTTAACTTTAAAAATCTAACACGATCGTTGGGCAACAGTTAGGTATACCTATGATGCATTTGATAATCGGCGTGATTGACACAACTTGTGTTGACATTTTTTTTTTTAATGTACAGGCGTATTATGTTTAGTACGATCGTAAAATAAGTTATTGTTGCATAGTATAAAAATATATTTTCGTTGCGAGGTAGTTCCTAAAATATGGGTTCAGCCGTTCACGGCGGTAACGGTAAAACAGACGAAAATGCATTTTTTCCCAACGAAGGATTTCTCGGAGTTAACCAAATACTATACATATATAACTATAATAATAATATTATTATTATTATTATTATTATAATGCAACGACACAGAAAATCACCAAAAGAAGAATGAAAAAAAAAAATACTTGCAGAACGTCCTGCAGCGGCAGTGATTGTAATCGCAACGACGAACAATACAAACATAATAATATAGGTATATCTGTAAATTTATGCGGCATATTTAGACCGGAACCGATTTGATTAAGTGCGAGGTCTTTGGATTTCGGGAATTCGATTGAGTATGTCATATATTTATAATGTATTTTAAAATAATATATACATTCATATGTATCTCATGATACAAAATGGTTTTTCTACAGGATCATAGTGAAAAGGCTACGATATAATATAATACGTATCATGCGCATATAGTATATACTATAATAATGTGTTGAGACGACTTTTGTAATGTTGAAAACATATTCTAAGGAAAAATATGGTATGAGAGACTTTTTATAGATAACTTGAAAAAAAATATCGAATCATCAAGTCTGACACTTCAGCTGCCATTAAAATAAGTCAACCATAATTTTTTTATATAATATTCCTGTAGAGTAGAAAATGTTGATAAACACAAAATATATCATACCAATCATCTAACCAATAGCTGTTGACAATGTCGGAAGAGCAGATTTTGTGGTGTGGTTGTTGTTCTTTAAGGAACTTAAAAATGCCGTATAAATATTATGCGTACAATTTTTTCCACAAGAGTTTGAAGTAGGCATTTTGACAAACAAAATCACTAAAATTTTAAAACGATTA